ATCATCAATATCAGGATAGGACCAGGCATTACTGCGTAACAGTCCAAGTTACCACACCTCATATCAGTACATCAAGTAAAAAGGCAGTGAGGTGCAAGATGAAGATAAGAAAGTTCAGTCAAAAGAAATATTAAGTACGAAAAGAGGGAAGAGAAGAATGAGAAAATGGTGAGATTCCGTATAGCGTCGTTAAGATGAGGATAATGTGTGTATACATCTGCGCCACTGACATCGGTTCTGAGACATATCACCTAGAATCTCCAACCACTGGTTCCTCTTGCCCCGCGGACCCCAACCACCTAGTCTGTATCGCCCCACATGGCTCGAACCAACAGTCACAGACTTCATATATTGATGCCATGTTTTAGTCTGGCCACCTCAGGCCTTTCTCCAGCCTGAACCTACTTCGGCCAACATTGTGTGACGAGGCAATCGGCGACTAGCCATACGTAACACGTGTCGGAGCCAACCATTTCAGCCGATGAAGGTTCATAACCTCGTCAACTGATTTATCTCAACTCCCTAAAGCTCTACACCTGACGTCTGTGTTACTCACATGGTGACACCACGGAATACGGTAAACTAAACTACGAAGGCAACGGTGGTCAAACACCTGAAACCTTCTCATGTCTTCCACCTTCAATGGCCATGTTTAACAGCAATGCAGTGGAACAGAACGGACTGCTATGAAGTACACGCGACCTTTAATGGACAATCGGATATCATGGCGGCGCCACAGGTGGCGTAAATTGGTGAAAGCCAGTCGAGCCTTTTGTATCCGTGAACAGATTTCATCGGCTACTGGCCAACGTACCACGACTGATCCTACTTTCCAGGTGAGTGAAGTGGTCGACATTCTCAACCACTTCACTCTCTATTGTTAGCCGAGGTGGGGGCACCGTTGAAGACCAATCCTGGAGCAACAATTTGCACTTGAGTGGTGAGAAACGCATCCCAAACATTCTCAAATTCCCACTCAAAGTGTTCAGAAGACTCTGCATTTTGTCACTATCTTCACCTAGCAGGACTATGTCATCTGGATATTCCAGGTCAAACAAAAATTCTCCTGCAATTAGGTCAACCTAGTGGCTTCACTGGTCAAACTGTTGGGAAATACGAGATTTATGTGGACGCAGGAGTCACAAAAGACATTTGACAGAGTTAAGGAGCTTTTTGATGAACAAAGGATGGCCCTAAGACTGGTAGTTCTCAAGACATCATTTGCCGTCTCATAGATACTAGTGATTACAGAATAGTTATCACTCTATGACGGGTCAAAGTTGTTGAATATATTAGCCATTTACTGACCCCCACAGAGCAGAGGTACTTGACAGTCGAGAAAGAATATCTTATTATCGTCTAGGCATTAGAAAAATGGACATCACATCATCTCCTTGGACAAAGGTTTCAAACTGAAAGGGAACATAATCTCTCACAGTAGTTGCAGACAACACGAGATCCCATGAAAAACTATCGCAATGGCTCTTATGCATACAGGAGTATGATGTTATGATCGATTATATTCCAGGGCGGAAGACGATATTCACAAATTATCTGTCTAGACCGTAAAGGACAGCTGAAATGTCAGAGATTGTATGTAGGGTGAACACCATGTAACAGGACCTACTTAGGATGGTGAGCTATCAAAAAGTGGATCTTGTCATTAAAACAGTGATTCAGTCTAGGATGGAAAGAAGTGATATTGAAGAAACCGCAGCAAACAAGGAGTTGAAGACTTCTCACACAAAAAAAGCTAAAGTGAGGGTGAATTCATACGGTAAAATGAATTGGAGAGAGGAAGATAGGAGCTAAGTAGTTTATATATATATATATATATATATATATATATATATATATATATATATATATATATTATATTATGTAAGGATATCCTTGTTAGAAAAAAGTTCAAAATTCATGAACAGTTTTACACATTGTGCTTGCTTGACTGAAAATATTATTATATTATTATTTGTCTCTTGGGTTCCTAGTGGAAAACACGGCTTCAGTAGCACGTCTCCATTACATTCTGTTCTCTGAAATCTTTTTAACCTGCCTCCACAACAGCCCACAAGCTCTCATTTCTTCCTCATACGATCTCCTCCTCGTCGTTTCCCATCTGGGTTCCACCCGACGACCTGGCGCATGATGTCCACAGTCGGCCTTCTCAGTGTATGCCCAATCCATCTCCACTTCCTTCTGCGTATATGTTGGGCGATAGGTTCTTGGTTGGTTCGTTGCCAGGCCAGAGTTCCTTGTTGTTTATTCTTACTATTCTGGCCATCTGAGCCTCAGTAACGAGCCAGTGTAGGCAGTTGTTGATGAATGTCTGTAGTTTATTGAAAATCCCTTTCGTAACGCGCCAAGTTTTTCAACCATAACATAGAAGCACTGACTTGAAATTGGCGTTGAAAATCCGGATGTTGATCACACTTTTTCTGAGCACAGCAGATCTCCACATTGGTTTCAGGTTGATGAAGGCCTGTTTGCTTTTCCGATCCTGGCTTCGACGTCCTCATCTGTGCCGCCTGTAGTTGAGACAGTGCTGCCTGCTTAGATAGGTGAAAGAGGCTACTACCTTTAAGTTTCTCCCGTTGATGGTGATTGGAGTTTGTTGTTGGTTGGGTATCTTCATCACCTCTGTCTTCTCTACGTCCACTTGAAGTCCCGTCTTCACTGCCCTAACTCTGCTGTCAACTTGTTGAATTTTGCCTATAGATCTTCAAGTTTTTGTGACATTAGACATAAGTCATCGGTGAAATCCAACTCTCATAGGTTCTTTTCCGCGGTCCAGCCAGCGTATCCTCTTCTTCTCGCTCCTCACTGTTTGTTCCATGATCCAGTCCAGTTAAGTCAACCACAATCAGGAAGATCGTGGGTGATAGTAAACAGCCTTGTCTTACTCCTGTCTTCACTTCAAAGGCATTACTCAGCTTCCCATTGTGAATTACTTGGCATGTGGCGTCTTCATATAGTTGTTGAATGAAGTTGATAAAGGTTTGTGGTATTCCGTAGTGTTGAAGCAGCTGCCTGCCAAATTGCTTGTCGGTCGACGCTGTCGAAGGCCTTCTCAAAGTCGATGAAGTTGAGGTAGAGAGCTGACTGCCATTTTATACTCTGTTCTATGATGATGCGTAGCATTGCAATTTGGTCCACACATGATTTGCACTTCCTGAATCTAGCCTGTTCCGGTAGTAGTTTTGAATCCAGGGCATCCAGTATTTTATACGTTGTACTCAGTTCCTCTTCTCATTGTTCATCCTTGCACTGCTTTATCTTCTGCTTCACCATTCCCCTCTCCGTCCTCTATCAGCTTCCATGTGTCCATCAAGATCCATTCCTTATAATCTTTCTTCTTCCTTCCCAATACAGTTATGCAGGTCACCGTCTACATAACCCACAAAGAGTCCCAGTGTTAATCCACACAGGTCTCTTCAGGCATGTTCCTCGATATCTCCCATTTTGTCTTGATGGCTGACCGACGTGAAGATATCCTTTGTAGTTCCGTCCTTCAGTGCAGTTTCTGTTCTGGGTGTTGAACTTCAACTGTGATCTATCATCATCAACTTCCTTGAATTGAAGGCTTTCAACTTGATTTTGAAGGTAGGTTCCTTACACTAGATAGTGGTCTAAACTTACATCTTCCCCCATCCTTCATCTGATCTTGTGTCAAGTGGGTTGCGCCCCCACTTTCTTCACATTGAGATGAAGTCGATATGAGTTTTAATGTGTCCTGGTGTCTGGTGAAATCCATGTCGCTTTGTGGATATCCTTGTCTTTGAATACAGTACCTTCAATCACCAGATCGTTGAATGCACAGAAATCTGCAAACAATTCTCCACTGTCTTTCATCCTTTCACCTAGCGCTTCTTGACCCATGGTTAGTTCTCTTCGTGTGTTGCCCACTCCACGCAGTTTGGCATTCATGTTGCCCATCAGAATGAGCTATGATGTCGCCAACTGGAGTGAGGTCTTGTCTAGTGTTGATTGCAGTTGTCTGTAGAACTCCTCCTTCTTCTCTTGCTCTGCATTATTTGTAGGTGCTTAGCGTAGCATTGAATGATTGTGACTTTCCTTCCTTTTGAGCTGAACCTTACTGTCATGATCTTGATCCTGCAGGAGGAGATTGGTTCCCACTGCATGAGAGCCTTCGTTGTTCTTGGGTACATCATGATAGCCACTCCATCAGTGTGCTTGTGGTTGTCGTCTGGGTGACAATGGTGGAGTAGATTATTGATTTCCAGTTGACAGTTTGGAGAGTCCACTTCCATTCCATCTGCTATTGCTCATTCCTAAAACTTCAATGTGATACCTTCTCATCTCCTTTGCAATCTGAGCAGCCTTGCCATCCAGCTTCAAACATAGTGCGGACATTCCGTGTCTCGATGCTTACTTTTGCTTTCATCGAGAGAAGAGAAGACACATCGGCTAATTGGCTTCCCGATGTCTTTCATCAACCGGCGTCATTTCGTCTCTCCAATTCCAGCGAGGAATAATTATTTTGTTTATTATATTTTCTCTGTGCTTCGAAGTTTCTTTAGCGTTTGGATTGGGTTTTTGGGGTAGGGTTGCTAGCCCTATGCCCAATGTTCCCTCTTTACCCAGGCTTAAGACGGGCTATTAACTAGTGAACTAGTTAGTCAGGCGAGATTTTAAATGAAAGTAATACGTAAAAGTTACAGTCAGTTCCAGAAACGAATGCCATTATATTGTGCTTCGTTCTAAGTTGCTATCACCGTCTCATCTTTATAAAATGAACAAAGATCTCATCATTGTTACCTAGGTCTTAGTACAGACTGTAAAACACGTTTCTTCGTACAGCACTCTGTATAAATGAGGCACAAATTAGACATTTAACACTGTTTACAGCTTACCCAAAAAGCAGATATATGCATTCATAGGACACTAGAAATTTCGATAATTATACTTCGGGAAAATACGATACAATGAACTGTTCATCAGATAATTAAATCGCTAATATGGAAATTAGTTTATCTTACCTTATTTTTAATTCATATTTCATATGTACACTTTGATTGGTTTTCACATGGTTCAACAACGCCTTTGAAGTTAAGGGAATAAAAACAAGCAAAGGTATTATAAGAATGCGCTGTACATTCTAGCTATCCTTGCTATCGATTCCATAATTGTATGCGAAGACCTATAACTTTTCACCAATTTAAAAGCTAACAGTTCTTTCAGAATTCTCAGTCGGCATCACTGACCACACGTAAGCGAATGAGCAACTTCTAAATGCCAGCTGCTCAACACATATTTCTGCCAATCTGAAAAGCTAGAAACAGGAATATCTATACATATTTGAATTACAGCGGTTGCCTCAGCTCATCATTCGATGCCATGTAAAATTAACATATTCGGAAGTTATCGCTTGAAAATTTGTGAATAAAAGTATACATATTTAATATAATAAAGTGATTAACTATTATACAGTAAGTTATCTATGATAATAACTATGGAAGGAAAAGTCATGGGACATATTTATACATGTGCTAACGACTCACCTCGCATACTCGTGGTATTAGGCCTGGATCCTCCTAAAAGTGAAAAGGAAACAGATAAACGTGTTGCTGAACATTCAACTTTACGGCAGGGAAAGGAACAGATAAACCCACAAGAAGTTCTGTCATATCGCATTTGTTTAACAGTGTTCACTCAGTGTAAAAGAGTAATTGATTCAAGATTATCTATCACATACTACTAAGCCTTTCAAATGGTATTAGAACTCGTTTTTCGAACTTATCGGAAGCTAAGGGAATTCCAGCTATCTGCGCCCTTTGTTTTCTGGAGAAGTTTGTACATCTTTTATCTCTCCCTTCGTCAAGGGAAACTTGGTAAACAGTTCCATGATGAAAATGTTTCTACTCCTTTCTTATCCTGCCTTCCTTTCACATACTTATTGTATTTCCTTAAACTTTGTCCACTTATTTCATCCCTTAGCATTACGTAAAATTTATTTTACCGTCAATCATCACCCAGTATCAATAATACGCGTCTGTAAAACCACGGCTATCTCATATAGTCACACTGATAATCAATATCATGCTCCCCTTCTGCGACTGAGTCCAATTTGGATTGGAATGAGACAAACCTGATCGGGCAGCTAAGGTGAATACGATGAACACACAGAAGTACATCACGAATTCATATGACAGTTGACCGAAACCTTGGTGATTGAAATAAAATTAAGATATCCTCAGCAGCTAAGTCTCGTAGATAAGTTGATAGAGCACCCGGTCAGCAACCTGGAGTCGTCGTTTCGAATCCCACCCAGGATTTTCATTTTACCCCTAATCGTCAAGCAACAACTTCATTTTTTCAAGCACTTGACCCACTTTAATTATCGGAGTTTCTGAATTATCATACTATTTCCTTGATTTTTATCATCATTACCCTTTGTATTACAAGCGCTTTTGTCAGCCATGATAACACGACTGTTAACGTTATTATTCTAATCACTATTCAACTGCTATTAACATCTGTACATTTTAACACACTTCACGTAAGGACAAATCTACATGATTGGTTTAGTTTTTATGTATATTTAGCCACTTATATAAGATGAAAGTATGAAGAGGATCTTACTGAAAACAATACTGTATTCTTATTCCTTTTTCTAATCTACACGATGGGAGTTTTTTGAATTCTTAGTGATTTTTTTCACGGTATAGATTTTATCTCATGGTTTTAACTCCTACCATTTCCCTTTCAACAGCTTGTAGTTTTAAGATAAAACAAAAATAAACCTAGAACCTTCAGTTCACAAGTCAGCCACATCAAAGTCAAGTGACTAGAATGAGTCAGGTTTTCAAACTTTAGTTCCTTGTCAATAAACATAGGTCGAAATTCTTATTAGTTCTACAAGAAATTCATATCCAATCCAGCCATAAATAAGTATTTCATTAACTTTTAGTTAAATGATATGCAGATTACTGTATTGCCGAAAGGTAGTTTATTTCAGATGTCCTCACAATTTTGTAATATTCTAATAAGATATCATGACCTATCGAGTATGACTAGATTCGATTGAAGATGGATGTCCATTGATGGTCTCAGAGTAATGTAAACTGACTGAATTTATGGAATAAAAATTATTGGATTCTGTACCGTGCCTGGATAGTAACATGGTCACTCTCAGCTCTAACATTTTTGTTAGTTCTCTCGTGATCTCCTAGGTTTACACTTGTGAGGAATTCCGATATCAGATAAATTATTGTTCAGTGTTTCTTGATTTTCACTAGTGTTTAGTTCAATATCAGTTCTTTGGGAAAAAAAAGCGACCATTAAAAACCAGTATGCTAAATATATCTCATCTTACATAAAACTATCACAGTTTAATAAAATATTGATTACAAATGAACACCTACAATATTATGTACTTTACCATTACCTTATAAGGTTCCTTACATAATGTAAGGCTTGTTTATCTACAAGGTGAGACTGTTTGACGTGATTATCTGTCAGTTAAAATAAGACTTTTCTACTGCATAAGGAAATATCATTTAAAATAATTAGGTGAACTACAAAGCTATATATTTTGGTTAGGAAAAACAGTCACCTTAATTTTACATATGGTAAAAACTAAAATTACGGAGCTTAGAAGAGGATTATAATTCTGGGAATCACGCATTAGAATTGAAGATTTTTCTTTTCGAAACCTCAATCGAGAATCTACAGCACTCAACATGATTATTTTATGCTCCGTTTATGTTTTTGAGAAATGATAGCGATATACATAGCTCATATAATTCATATAATGGTTCGTACGAATGGGAAAAAACATTTGTTTGTTAAATATTTTGAACAACACAAGAATAAAGACATTTTCAGAATAAAATTAACTCATTTTATTTCACTGCCCTTCGTCAGCTGTAAACAGCTTACAATGGAAATGAAGTATGAGTAGTAATAATGGCGTAACATACTTCAAATATGTACAAATAGATGGAGGTTTGAAATCCAGGATTAACAATAGGGTAGTGATTCATGGAAACACTGTACTAATTATTACTAATCTTAGTCGAAATCAATGGCAATTTTTATCTGGTGAGATAGAAAATTCTGGAGCTGTGAAGTGGAAGGGGAAGGACAACAAATGATAATCAATGTAAAAGAAGGGACTGTTTAAGAGCTGGTAGGTTATGCAATTACATCAAAAACTGGGAAATTGTTAAGTGATTAACAATCAGTAAGTAACTGATGAAGAGATGATGCAATCAAAAAAAGGAAAATTATATACGTACACACACAAGAAATTACATACCAAGATGAAGAAAGGTTAATTACAGTCTCTTTCTGAGTACATAAGTTAGGTTAAAAATCTTTGATAGCGAGACCTTCCGTAAACAGTAATAAATATGGGGTTCTTCATTTGTTAATTATCCTGAAGGATTAAGAAACATCTATTTGATATCCTGTTTCCATCAGGTACCTGGCGACTGCACTGGTTAAGACCTTGCTACCTTTCGGACAGAGACTTTCCGGAATATGCTAATGAAATAGAGGAGATATCCCTCTTTCAATGCCCCCTATATAACTGCTTCCACAAGCACATGTGAACTGATATACACAGATGGAGGTGATGTGAGCTGTGTATTTGTCTATTTTCGACTGTGTTATTGAGCCTACTGCATCGTAAACCCAGATCAGTCTGGTAGCAGGGAAGCTCCTTCTCAGTGTAGCTTTTATTCTTCTATCTATTCTTTTAGATGTCACCTTTGAATGCTATAAGAAAAAAAACAGGCTAATTTCCAACATTTGGATGATTTGGTCCCTCAGTAAATTCTTTTCTATGCTTCATGATGAATTTCTTCAGATATCCATTATCTATAACAGCCTTCTTAATCATACCGAATTCTTCTTCTTGTTTGTCTTTTGAGCACAGCGTTTTTGTCCGCATGAATAGCATCCACGCTTATAGCTGATACTCCATACCTCCAGAATTTTCTATCTCAACAGATAAAAATTGTCATTGATTTTGACTCAGATTTGTAATTATTAATCCCGTGCTCTACAAGTGTCTTTGTTCTCGCGTTGTTCAAATTCGCCAAGAGTATTAAATGTATGATAAATATTTTGAACCACAAGTTTTCATACAAGCTTAAATAAAACGAAAATCATCTGCATTTTACTATGGTCAGTTTTACACAGACTGCTTCTCATCTTACAGCTCCGGTTGTCCTTGCTGGTCATGATGCATAATGAAAACGTTCACTGTTATCGTTCTTGATTATATTTTATATAAAATGAAACTAGTTTTATATCTCTGGCGATCCAAACGATGTTGAAGCAGATCCTATTGGGCACTAAAGTCGGAACTTTAAGGACAGATTCGTGCACCTGTGTATAAAAACGCAGCGCATTTCCGCGTCATTCTAATTACCATCTTTTAGTAATCTATAGAGTCGTTATAAATCATTTCTAGATGGAATCAACGGACTAATATGTAATCAAACTTCCCTTTTTTTGCCATTCTTTCTGGGTTTCCTAGTTAGTCATTATTCCACATAATATCCGCTAATCTTTTGAGCCTTTTTCAATCTACTTGCATTCATTCATTTTCTGTTTTCCTTCTTATTAGTGAGTTTCTACACATACTTATCGCTTTATCCAAACAGTTGATTCAAAGTGTTACGAAGATTTGTTGGACATATACGTTTATAATCACAGTTTTTAGGGATGAAATTTGTACCACCACTTCAGCTTTCTATCGCTTATTCCGAGAAGAAACAACACATGTAAAAAATATATTTATAAGCAGTAGAACTTCTTTACAACTTTGGAATATATTTTCTCAGTTTCATTTCACCTTAACACGATTATGAGAAAATATAACGCAGGAAAAGCTACCCAATAAGCTATACTATATCACAGTAGGGTTTGTCAAATCACTAAATTTAGTTAGTCCATAATGATGTTACTGGGAGTGAATACTTTTAAAAGTTTAGCCTTCTAAAACATACCACGAATATAACAAAAGCAAACTACAACTAAAAATAAGTTACTAGACAAAAATTAATCATGACAACACCATTGACTATACAGTATCCTGAAAACAGCTTTTGAAAGTTTCAGTACTGACATCCTGTGGAAGTAAGATAAGAGAGTACATTTTCTGGTCATATGACATCAAAAACTGAAATGACTGTACGAAATTGAAGTCATATACAATATGAAAAGTTATGCTAAGGAAATGGGCCAGCTACTTGACGTTTTTTTAAAGGACATTTAATCACATAAATAAATAATAAGGTCCGTAATAAAAGACATTTGAGTAAATTTATATCCTTTTTCAAATCAACTTAGAAATACTTCAACACTTTGATATGTATACCCTAATAACTTGGAATATTTTGTGGAAAAAAAGTTATCCCTCGATTCCATCTAATAAGTCTCTTGTTCAATCTATCAACCGGTATAAAATAGCCATCATATATGCTTTCATAATGGTGTCTTTCAATTAATCTAACAATGTAGACATACTTCCTGTGCCAAGTAAGAAGCCTATAAATGCAAGTTAATTAAGAAGGGATCTGCCATACAGAAAACTGGACCATTTCATTTTTACATTACATTCATTGAAAATATTGCAGTGTAAGTCTCAAGAAAACATTGCACCAATCCAAGTGAGTATTGCACTAGCTAGTACCACACTTTACAAGGTATGCTTCAGTAATACCTGCACCTATTATTCTGGTGATTTTGTACCCAAAGTGTATGATGTAAGAATACACTGCGACTAGATTGTGATTACATGGTTGTTAATGTCAATTTTCTGCCAGTAATTATTCTTGTGTTAATTTCGGCAATAAAAGTTTCATGAACGTATATTATTATCCCTTTATGAAACGGCATTGGATATCAAAACTAATTTTACAATTAGATGTCTTTTATCAATAGTTTTAACTACGATAAAAATTAAGTTTTCAACAGACGTTATATACATCTCTACTCTACAAAAAATTAGGACTATGAGAGTGATCTTTTGATTTTCATTGCCTAAAATTTATTGTTGTTTTATGATAAATTTGTGTCAATGGCATCTGCTTAAAGTGAACTAAAAATATGCAGGCAATCAATTACCATACTAAAAAGGGTTGAATATATATATATATAACTATTTCTTCATAATAATACCTTCAAAGATAATAAATTACTAGTAAGTGAATTTAGTGAGAATTTCATCATACTATTGTGGATAGAATAACAAAAGTGGCCAATTAAAAAGGTAGAAAAACCTGGTGACTTAACAAAAAACACCTCTCTTAGTTTTGGTACCGAACTTTTGAACTAATTTATATTGCAATGAAAACTTTTTGGAGTTAAATTACCAATCGAGTGAATAAAATTTCACGTATTATTAGATTAGTTCTGTTTTAAGTCCCAAATTATTTTGATAACGCTATTAGAAGATGAAAATTATCTGAGCAATGTGATGTATTTGCGCAATACATTTCTAACAATCTTATCACACATTTACTTGTCAAGTCAATTTATATATGAAAATGAAAGGTCAAATGTAATGAATATGAAAAGGTTGTGACACTAGTCTTGGTAATATAATCAGATAAGGATTACCAAGGTAAATTAAGTGAAACAACAATTTCAAGTTGTTATTCATCGTAAACTGACATCAGTTGGAGGGACAAAGGAAACCTGGGAGCACTGCTGAGGAATCCCATACTAGGACGAAACGGCTGGCCAGTGCTCCGAGATCTTTTTTCTTCCAACTGATGTCAGTCTACGATGAATAACAACTTGAAATATTTCCAAATCCCCACAACTCCCTCAAAAAAAACATCAAATTGTTTTTGCACGCACAGCGGGGCTTAAGTTTACGAATAGCTAACGCTTCGGAGAACTTCAGTGTGCGCCCCTGATTATTTCCGTGTAGTATTTTGAAGGTTGTTTTCGTATTAACCCTGTGATTCATTTCAATGATATGTTTCGCTATAGATGACGATGGATGTCTGTCACCTGCACTTATCAAAGTTTGTGTGTTAAATTGCTTTTCAAGCCATTTGAGTATGTGTTCACCCACCCTAGTCTGCATTGAATGATTACTCCTCCCTATGTATGTGTGTCCACACATACATGTAAATTGGTATTGGTGCATACGAAAACAGTTTGTTGTTTCACTTAATTTACCTTGGTAATCCTTATCTGATTATATTACCAAGACTAGTGTCACAACCTTTTCATATTCATTACATTTGACCTTTCATTTTCATATATAAATTGACTTGACAAGTAAATGTGTGATAAGATTGTTAGAAATGTATTGCGCAAATACATCACATTGCTCAGATAATTTTCATCTTCTAATAGCGTTATCGAAATTTATTAGAGGGACTGACTGTTTCAAATTCCCAAATTATTATTTACATCATAGTATTTTATTAAAAATTTTGAGAAAGTTATTTTTTTTCCCTATAGCAAGTAATGAAAGGTGATTGGAAATGTGATCAATTCGCCGTTTATTAATCATAGAAGTTTAACACATAAATTAACTGGCAGAAAAAAATTAGAATCAGTGGAAAGTTTTTATTCATACTTTCTCCAATAAAGGTATCAACCTTCTTGCTCTCAAACTTAATATTTTGTCACAAACCGATTATGCACCGATTAACAGAGATATTATGACGTTTCATAGTCCATTTACGGTAATATCGTAATTAAAGACCTTGAACAACTGCATCCGGACATGTATATATGCTCAGAAGGGAGAGACGAAACTATTGCATTAGTCGCTATTGTTTTTATATTTGTTAGAAGTTATTTCTTAGCGAAATTAAATACTCAGCTTGTAATTTTATCGCTTCATTGCTCGTTATTTTATAGCTAATAAGAAAATAAATCTTGCAACAGTTCATATGCTAAATATCCATGAAGCTACAAATGAAAGGACTATAATGTCCGAAATTACTAAAACTGACCAAAATTTATATATCAGGCCAGCAGTTTGACCACAAGTCAAGGTGATACGATATTCAGGTGCACTTCATTGACTGCTGGGTGCTATAATGCTTGCATACATATACAGGCATCTCATCGAGTTTCTAAGCGTTGGTCCACTTTAACGTCTTACTCTTATAATATTTTCCTTTAAACTGTCGGTATTCTCAATTGCATTGTTGATAAATGGTTTTCAGTAATTCATTTGCAATACAACTACTTCCCTTTGTGCATTGGACATATAAACTAACCTCAGTTGATACTACACTTGTATTCAGTATTACTAGCATACTTAAATCCAGTCGTCATACATGAATGAAGATATGGAACTATTCATAAAAAATCGAACGCTTTCAGTTCTTATGAATTCAACCGTTGTGATGTAATTTCCAGCATAAAACAAAACTTAAAAAGAAATGACAGGCAGTGGTATTATTGTGTACCAATTTTGGTGCCGTCAGTCATTTCTAATGAACAAAATATTTAACTAATCTATTCAATTAAACTGGTATCAGCTTGGATCGAAATTGCAACAACTACTTGGAGTTATGTAATAAATGAAATTTATATGCCGTTCCCTACCATTGATTTAGTCTACTGAATAATAAACAAGGTGTCTCAAGACAAGATCCATATCTAACAACTAGTACCAAATCGAAAAGCATCATTATACTGGATTTATTAACAGAAGAAATGGCTTATATTTACTCCCTAACCTTCAAACATGCTTTGAGTTAGATATAAAGTTGCTGGAGAAACCTTCCTTTAAATGAGTCACCACTTATCATTTTATGAAAATTTCACAAGAAACGTTTCGTCAACATACTTCAGATCCAAATATTGTATGTGTTTTCCCCGTCCCCGTCATTCCATAAGCAAAAAGGCTACAATTGTAGCCATCTTTCACAGATTCTACAGCATCTTTGCCAATACTATTGTAAACCTATTTCAAAAGTGTAAATAACAAACCAAAAGATGTGTTTATTTTTAAGCACTTCATTACTAGAGAGGTTTTAACAATCCAAACTCACATCAACTAAAATAATTGGGTGATCATTTCAAAACACTTTAATAAATTGAAATGTGTTGGTGCAAATGTTCAGTGTACATCATTTCTGAATGATAAAAATCTACATGTTTTTCCCGATGTGCGTGATAGCTGTAATCACATAATTACAAATTATATTTATTGTATGGAACAAATAACTGAGTATTTATTCAGTTTAACAGTAAATTACTGACAACTGAAATTTATGCATTTTCTGGGTAACAGCCCCTTCAACAAAATTCGTATCGTAATAATCGAACTTTGAGCTTAGTTAAAAATAACAAGTCAGTTTCGATAATTAACTCATCATGTCAGGCATATGATGAAAAGGTTTAAACAAATGCCATTAAACGTGTTAAAATAAAGGCTTCAAATAAGCTAGGAAATATGTGGAATTAATAATAAAGTGTCGTAGTCATCACAACAATATATATAATACCCGCAAACAATCTGATAACTATGCCTAGAACTGGCATCAAGCATATATCTAGAGGAATAAAAGTGAGTATGCCTACTTCAAACTATATTACACTAGTTTATACAGTCCAATTTTACTGTATAGTATGTAAATGAATTATAGGTTAAACGCAATAACAGCGCCTGTAGTGCAAAACTTCCTTTACTGAGAACTGAGGACTTCAGAAGTAAGTTTGTGCTTATGATCTTGTCCAGAATGACAATGAAAACTTTGCGATTAAACCATTCAACTCAGAAAAACACAATACTATCAAAATCATCCACCCGAGAGACAAATATTTTCCATCATAGATGACACTTCATTTATACCTCAAAGACGTTACAGTCTCAATATTCTTTTAAAAACAGTGCAAAAAATTACTTAATGCATTTCTCCAAGACTTCTTTCTCCGCCTCCTCACATGTAGTACCACTTTCATTAAGTGGATGCTTTTAACAAAAAAGTTACTATAAGCCCCTGCTACCAAACAAACTTGAGTGCAAACACAAGTATCCGAAGATCTAACGAATATGTACCAGGTGGCTGACTTCTGAAAATCCGTTCTCTAATAAAAGTAAAATGTTACTGTTAGGTACAATGAGAATCATACCTTTATTGATAAACTTTCCTGTTAACCCTTGAACCACTATAGCCCCATACAATAAACGCAAGTGTGCAGTGCAGGCTGCTTCGTAGCTTGCGTAACCGATAGGAAACAGAGAGCTGTAATAATAAGATAGCGCTGTATCTAAGTTATGAAGGGTTCACTTTAATTAATTATATCAGATTTCTTGATCAGTGGTTGGTTGCCTAAGAACCACTGCTAAGAATGTCATCTATTAGTCTTTGCCCCTACCTACAGCTGCTTGCTTGATGCCTGGTATCCTGAAGAACTTCTTCCTACTTCATAGATTTGAACCGTGAAGACACAGATGAAGTTAGATAATTGGTATAAAAAGGTTTTTTTCCTTATGAAAGTGCTTGTCAGAATCATTTCTTGCTATGCAGCAAGTCGTATATGCGTCATACACCAAGCATACCATGATGAACAATGATCAAATTCTAAGGGATTGATTTGAATTATCTCATGTCGACTAGTATTTTCAAAAAAATATGTACAGCTACAAGAATTTTCATCCTCAGTAATCTAGTTCATTGATTAATCATTCCACTTACGATGTTATTCAAAAACGTTAACACTCATGTAAGTGAATTTAACAGGAATCTGTTTCTGCTCCTTAAATAATAAGTCTTTTCTATGTCTGACTGTCATGTTCTTCAAGGCTTGGACATAAAGAGCACTGACAACTCTTTCTTCTGCCATCCTTTCATCAGTGAGACCTCACAATTTTATGTTTCATAATAAAGACACACTATTGTACTTCCCAACGTTGTAAGAAACAATTCTAGCAACTAATTCTCCGTAAATAGACATTTCTCCTCAAAAATAGTGTTTTGACACAATACCAAAGTTATATACAACGGAGCTGGTCTCATTACAATTATGAGAATCAAAACTACTTAGCTAGTTCTTCAGTCATATAAAGCATATAGTATGTGAACATGGAAAATCAAGGGTTAAATGGTTCATTTAATGTATGAGAATTGGCGTTATCAAAAACAGCAAAATTCAAGTGTCTAAATTCAAGTTCGGCCCTTATAGTATAATATCTCTCTATTTCATGTCCTATAATGATGCGTCATATCCCTACTTGTACTTCTAATCAGACATTAACTTAAGGGATTAAAAACAGTGTGGTATGTACCTCCGTATTAATGTAAAAGCCGTTTTCTATCATAACATCTGAATCACTGATGTTTTAAGTAGCAGATTATAAGTTGCTTACTGTTGTAGCTTATTTCAACTACCGCTTTCCTTCATTTCATTCACTAGTAACTACCAAAGAAAACTCTATGTTTTCCTAACGAAATAGAAACATTCTATATGCATTGTAGTTTCACATTTCCCCCCGTAAACATATAACCCTGTAAACTCCATTTGAATGAAATACTGATCATAAGGAGTGCGTTCTCAGTTACTGAATTGACAGGATGTCCGTAATTTATTTTTTGACATTATTTCTATTAAAATATAAAGTCTGAACATTATTCACCTTGACTCGATTTGAAGCCTTTTAATCATGCATAAGTGAATTATAAAACTGATCTAATAAGAGATATTCTTAAATTAATTAAAAAGGATGAGAATTGTCATGAAATTCAACTAAAACACCATAAGTATTAAAGTAAGTACTACAATAAAGCTGAAAAACCTAAAACTTTAGGGAATAATTTCAGCCTGTGATACATGAAGATCAATTGTTCGGTATACTAGTAGATGTATTTTGAAATCTTAGGGTAGTTTTTAATTTCGAAATGCATATTTTGACAGTATGTTAGCACACCTAAGACTTCCCAGTTGTGCTCATGACTCATAATATTGATTTCGCGTTATTCTAGGCTTCATTGAGCAGCTAAGTATTACAAATGACCTAGTGAGTAAGGTTTTTAGCGATCCATACTTGCTAAATCAAGGTAGAGTTTAGATCATGTGATCTTAATTTACAGATGACTATTTCAACAATGCCAAGATAAGTTCAAAGTTAATTAGCACTGAAGTAAGTGACGAAGAAGTCATTGCAGATAACGAGACAACTTTAGTTTCCAAAGCTTGTTGAAGAAAAGTTATTGAAAGAAAATAAGAGGTGTGATATCTAACTTTGAAAGACATTGAATACTGGTGAAAGTCATGTGTTGAATTTCTGGCTAATTTGCCTGAGTTCTAGAGATGTTATTAAATTATCACTTGGTACTTTCTTTCTGTAATTAACTCTTACCTCCTTTATATGTTCTAAAGTCTTGCCACCACCTATTTTGTTATTTCTTTTCACTGAAAACAACTGAATTAATTCAACTTGTCCATGATGAAGACGGATTTCTGCTGGTTTCTAAGTCAATAGGACCTTCATATTATCAAGTGAATTTCTTTAAGATTTATTCTGGCAATAAAGGCTGCGTAACTGAAGACATTCAGATCTTAACACTGCGATCATAGTTCCTCTCTCATCTAACCTTAATGAAGATTTTGGTTTTACCCGCCCTTCTTACGGAAAATAATCATCGGATTCCATTTATTCCTTATCTTTTTTCTTATAAACCACTTCTTTGCCTGAAAATTACTCCCTCTATAGCTAATTTTCTTTCCTAAAGCTGTTGTAAGTGTGGTGAACTGAAGTTATACTAACTTGTTCTGTTCTCAACTGTTTGTATGTGTATTTTTATGCGAAATGGATAAATTAAAACGCTATTATCTTCCATTGGGGTTGGGAAGTCCGGTTGTCCTTAGGACTACTATTTAATCGCCAAAAAAGTCCCTACTAGGCAGCTAATCTAAACAGTAGTCTATTTCTGTTCTACAACTGCTCAACTATGCCTCACAACCTCCTTCGAGCACTACATAACTTATATGATCAAATTTACCTTAGAGTATTTGTCAGCCAACTTTTTCGATATGTCGTAACAGAAAATAGAACCTCTATTTCGTAGTTAAGTCTGTTGACCACTCCAAAACGAACGAACTTATACCGGAGTTGTTTCGGAGTTAGCAAATTGTGATCAACAGAAAAAACAAAATAGTGTGCAAGTCGATTATATTTATGAATGACATTTGCATCTGGGTTAAAACGGCACTGGAATAAAGGTTTAGAAATCAAAAGTTTGAATTTTACAGTCATGTTTATTTGCTATTAGGTGTAACTTTCTGACTATGAATGAAAACAATCAACTGTCATTTTGACTTCACAAAATTTTCTGAAATGGGTTGAAATGCAACCAAGTTAACAGTAATTTTAAGTTTACGCTAAAATTATTCTCAAAAGCACTTACTAAGGCCTGCGAATCCTGCTCCGGATTATAATAATCAACTGAGCCAAATATATGGTCTAGAGAAAATATCCTTGTTCGAACTCTGTGGTCTGCAACCGCTTCATTTCCTGTTTCTTTATCATTCACTAAAATTAACTCATTTTCTCTGACTGTTATGTAGTGTTCTGGATTCTCTTTGAATTCACTGTATGAATAAATCAAAAAACATAAGTGGATAGAAATCAGAAATACTTAGCATGAATAATTTCAGCTCTTAAAATCGTTAGCTCCACAAGGCTAACATACACTTCAGCTAAATAAGATGTCATTTGTTGTTGAGGCTACTTGAAACCGGCATGGTCTAGCAGACTAGTATTATGGATATCCGGTGATAACTGAAGGTGGAGTAAGAACATCGGTTACAGCATGAATCGAACCAGCAACCTCAAGATTTCAAGCCCAGTTAACATGAAGTTAAATAAGAATCTGATCAGCAGGAAGATCTCATTGCTCAACAAATTGTAGAACGCCATGCTGTTAATCTCGAGACCCCTTATTTGAGTTCTGCCGTAGTCCAGGTTTCCCTTTCATCTTCAGTCCTCAGCCTGCAGCAAAAATGTTATTTATTGCGATAAAACAATGGTTCTTTGTGTGTAACAGATGTAGGCTCAAGTGGTTCTGTTCTAAAAATAACACAAAACTCATTTTCAGTTATAAATGTTCAGCTTTGCATCTTAAAGCAGTAATACGTTGAAGTTAAGGCATGAAGTTCTAGAATATAGATAATTACCCAAGCAAGTAAACATGTTCTATCTCACACATTGTCTGTGAGCTATGTTTACATAGTGTAGACTGGTGCTACTATGAACTCATGGATTACTATTGTGAGCAGGAAATAAAAAGCCTATTCTTTATTTTGTACAGAGCAAATGATAGTGTCTACTTAGTGACTTACTGCTACTTATTAAAATTAGAAATGTAAAAAGCAGAATAAAGTTTATCATTTTGGTTTGAGGCAATTTAAACAATGTGTCAGCAACTAACCATTGCTGTATTCAAAATACTTAATCTATACAGACAAAACTGTGGTCACCTACAATATTTTAACACTTAGTAGCCTTAAGTTTACACAACTAAGGTGTTGACTATACGAGATCATCGTATCCTTGTTTTCAAGAACAAATGTAATTGAACCCAAAGATAGTTCACTATCTCTAAACTTTATTCAACAAAGAAATGTTTCTTCTCAGCGACTTCATTATCAATCCGTACTTGGTAAAAAGTCAGATAATAGCACTAAAACGTTGTTTAGTCAATATACATATGATAGAGTTTCTAGCGGTGAAGGGACTGACCTATGTGAACAGGATCTAAAGAGTAATATAAAGAAGATGAGGAGGTAAGATATGGATCAAGTGATGTTCGAAGAGGTTAAAAAGCTAATAATTACGGCAATCATGTTGAAATGTGCAAAGTGAGTTGAAGTCATGTTAACCGGACTTTCTGTACACAAACGTTCCGACACTTATTCACATGTCATATATTTTGCTAATTAAAGGACTCCAGGGATTCAATGACTAGAAAAAGACTAAGTAGGCTTACTTCTCATTCTTCCAAGGCTTTAGAAGTGAATGATATTCAGAGACGGATCACTAAAAAAATGGTGTAAAGAATTCATCCCAGCAGAAGGTACATAAATGATGGTTCATCATTCGTAAACCTGTTCCAAGCATATAGGTGATGATTAAATTGAAGTTGTTAGAAAAATACTGATAAACAATGGATATTTCAGGAGATTTACAGGTAAAAGCTTAAAGAAGCGAACTGCTCTTCACCCATTTACAGCCCCTAAGAAAATTTCTATCAAGAAGTTTGGATTCAAAATGGACACTGAGGCTGAATTATCGAGCAACCGTCTTTCAATGTGGACCAAAAACAGTTTCTCTTACCCTAGCTGTTATATAGTATTCTCGAGCCATAGTTAGATTCGACAGTGTGTGTAAAACAGAATACCACTTGTGTTTACATCTGCCTTTTTATCTGTAAATTTGCATGTTGCTACTGAGCTAACTATGCTGAACGTTGTAAGCTGGTCCCCTAATAATGGACTCCCGAACATTACCCAATTTGGTCGATCAAAAAGGAGTATAGAACAACAACTATACTTGACCACAGTGATTGGTCTCTGTTGTCTATATGCTCCAATACGCATGTCTTGGTTTTGCATAAATATCCATTGCGATATAGCTTGTATGTTGATGCCTATCAGTGAAACCCAGGATGCCAGCTATATCAGATTTGGATTTACCTAAATCCCAGTGACTTTTGTTCTAAATGAGACCTAAATCTACCAGACCACATACATGTCTTCACCTGGTCAGTTGAGGCTGGTATAGAAAACTTGTCTTCTTCCCCGCTTCTCGACTCAGTTTAAATATGACAGGTTTAATTAACCGATTACTGACTTGATAGCACGATCATTTCTGCATGGTACTGTTGTAATATCCTTGTAACATAACGAACCTCCATGTGTGCAATAGATCTATTTCACTATGAAATAAATTAGTCAGTCGGCCATCAGTTCTAGTCATGTTTTTTTCATTTATTCGAATGTATCCCACCACACCAACTATGGATAAGGCTTTTAACCAAATCTTTTGGATGCCAACAACTTCAAAATATCAGTTACCACGAGACAGCCAAAATTAACTCCTTTTTGGGTGGATGAAATTACTTATCATTTTGACTGTCTGAGATAGCTGTGGTTTGGCAGACTAGTATTGACACTGATACTGGGTGGTGATTGAAGGTGAAATTAAAATATGGCCCAGGGTGGAATTCGAATCAGCGATCAACGGATCTCCAGTTTGCTGCTCTACAAACTGAACTGAAAGGCTATACTACTAGTTCGAATAGTCAGAATGATAGTAAATATTATGCTTCCCCTCTCTGACTCAGGTAGATGAGAACTGGGATAAGAAGTCACGACTGGGCATCCAGCGCGATTACGATCAAGTGGTAGCAACATGTCACGAATTACCATGGTGGTCACGCAAAACCATTGGTGATCAAAATGAAATAAAAATCTGGTCAGCAGTCAGATTTTGCTGTCCAGTTGGTTAGGCAGCAGACTAGAAACCCATTGACTGCTGATTCGAATCCCGTCACACCCTTAATTTTCATTTCACCCTCAATCAGCACAGAGTATAAATTACTGATAGTGACATCTTGGCAAAGTTACGTGATATTGCATTCATGAAGTATCAATTGACAGGAATGTCTTGTCTCAGTTAAAAATTGCTTTCATTATTGTCCTTAAAAATTGGCTTTCCCACTCTCTAAATTATCCTGCGTTCAAACAGCTGTCACTCAACTTAACAATGAAAATAAAATTTTAAACAACATCTACTGATAACTGGCCGTTACATATCAATAGAGAAACCTTCGTACGAAATAATGTACTCTGAAATTCTCGTGCGTTACCAGGGGCTTCAAAAACGCATGTTTACTACACTTTTAAAAATCAAGTAACTAAACCGTATTTAGCCCAATGACGTCCATAAATTGGAAATTACTGACATGTAAAACATGTTACAAATACTAACTGTTTCAGAGCCTGATATCTCATGAAGTTTGGATCTGTTGAATGAAGCTATAAAGACTCTTTGTTAAATTATCAGAACTCTCAGTCCATAGTGAGAACTAATAAAATCAAAGTTTTCATATCAAAAACAATACAAAACTTTTAAGGCAAACTTCTGATCCAAATTTTAAAACATAAACCCAAAACAAATTGCACATACTCAGAAGTAAAAGGTCGAATCCTCGCAACAACAAAAAGGTTGCTCATTAAATTCTATTAGACGACTTGTTAATTCACAGCATCACATTGCAAACTCCGAAAACCGCGGTACTGTCCAACTTAGATTAGCGCTTTCAATATCCAATTTATTCAGATGGTTGTTAACGAAATAGAAGAAGCTTTCGCTTAACTGGCTTCCGCATCTAAAATCCGTGCACTACTACTTCTTGCGGTTTTTTACTTATTTACAAGTGTAGCGTCACGCATTTCTGTAGATACAGTAGCTCAGGGTTCGACGAGACTCGGCATTGACGCTTACCATCATAGTTTTATCGAACTCGGTTAGCTGAAGGCACACGATCAAGCATCCACATCAATTAGCACGCTGTCGTGTTACGTTGCACTGCTCGTAATCTACCCTCTAGCTAGTTAGTTATAAAGCGTTGGTATCTTGGCAAGACCTCGTAAATATACTACTCCACCAACTACTTTATTGTTTTCTTTCCTGGTCTCGAATTCTTAGGTACATAACAAGTACGAATAATTTTCATTTCTTTTTCATTTTGATAACCTTTTTATATATATATATATATATATGACTCCTTTTCATGTCCAACCATGCTCTGAAGCTCATCTATATTAAGCCGACGAATAACACTATCCAGCTCTAGTCATACTGTCCAGACAATGCAGAAGAATATGCATGCTGAAGCAGATATTTGAGAACAAGGAGTCGCAGATGCACATTCTTGATTTCTTGCCATCACACGTTCGCTACCACAGGAAATAAACAAATGCATTACAGCGCTTATGTTAAGCTCTTAAGTAAGTGATCCCTATGGACTTCTCAAGGCTACAAACCTGAGGAAAACGTCCTTTGCGTTTTCCACGTGCTTTTGGAGTTGGGCATTCTGACGGCGATCTAGTTCAAATGGTTCAAGTGTTTGTTGGCGGAGTAGAAGCTGCAGTCTAACTGGCTTCCGCGTCTAAAATCTGTTGATCACAACTCCTTGTGGCTGTTAACAGGTGTAAAAGTAAAAAAGAGGATAAAGTTACTGCTAAAATGTGGAAATTCAATTAATTCTGGGCACACACACGTCAAATGGGTACCCAGTCGGGGTTTAAAGGACTCAGACGAAGTAGCCTCGACCACATCTGCAGGAAGGACTTTCAAGGGTTTAACAACTCTTAGAGAGTAGAGGTTATGCCTGATATCCAACCTGCCATTTCCATGCCGAGTTTCTGTGTGTTACCTCCGGGATTTGTGCTGCAGATGAGATTTAATTAGTGACGAAGTGGGTCTCCAGGCGTGCTCTGAATATTGTGAGTCATTACCAGGTCTTCTCTTACTCTTCTGCATTCTAGAGGATGCAGACTCAGCACAACCAGCCATTCTTCGTATGTCTTAGACCTAAGTCCTCGAACGGTTTTTGTCGAGCCCCACAGGATGCTTTCTGAGCTTAGTTTGTCCTTCTGGGGGGAAAAGGGGGAAAGATGATCCCGAACTCCAGGTTAGGCCGCACGAAGCCGTTGAAAATTTGGTTGAAGCATCCACGGTCGAATTGTTCGAAAATTCGCTTAAGAGTTACCAACACCAAGTTTCCAAAAAATGCGTTTCTGTCACAGCTGGCGCGGAATTTCAAGGCTAGAGGGACCAAAACGCCCGAGACCTCCTCTGTCAGTGACACAACCGGTTCGATGCTGTTGAGGCTATTAACACGAGATGCATCATGTTTTACGTGTATCACATAGTATTTCTCAGGATTAAATGCGAGCCCGTTACTGACTGCTCAGTTTTGAAGTTTGGTTAAGTCTTCCTGTAGGGAAACACTGTCTTCCTCACTTTCGATTTATCTCCACAGTTTCACGTCGTTGGCAAATAAGGGATTTCGGAAGAAACCGATTTAGGCAAGTCGTTTATGTATACTTGAAAAAGAAGAGGCGTAGTATTGAATTTTGGGGAGAACTACTAAGACATTCTGTCTCTTCGGATATAGAGTAGACCACTCGAACTCTAAATGAACAGCCTAGTAAATATGAAGACAACTGGTGAATGAGCAGTGGTTGAATCCCGATAAGTTTCAATCTATCAATAAGGCAGCCCCGATCAACACGATGAAATGCCTAAGCAAATCTAGGTAGACAACATCGATTCGTCCTCAACAGTCAACAACGTTGGTCTATCTATCTACTGAAGTCAGTAGATCATTAGTGCAGGAGACCCTTTGCGAAATCCTCGTTGTTGCCGCGTACTAGAGTTGTTCTTTGTTACGCAATCCCCCAGCCCATCTTTGATCAAAGACTCCGTTACCTTGGAAGGAATGGACAGATGTGTGACCGTTTGTATTTCTTTGGGTTGCCTCATTGATCTCCGTTGAAGATTGGCGTTATGTGTCCCAACTTCCAGGAGTCGGGTGCCATCCTCTGGTTCAGAGAATTCTTGACTGACTTGCTTAAATTTTCGAACAAGGTAATAATCACAATGCTAATGTATTCATGAATTTAAAGGTGCGTACCATTTTCACGGATACGGTTAAAAAAATTGGTGTTGGAAAATCTTCGGTAGTATTTTTTAAATGTTTTTTACTATCCCGTTTACATCTCAGGTAGTGGAAATCCCCAGTCTGAAGGAAAAAAGTTTTGCATCAAGTACGAATGGTACCATTAAAGTTAAATATTGAGTTTTCGTTATGTTTTTGATTTATCTAGCAGGAATAAAAGTCATGTTTGGTGAATACGTAGAAGCATTATTAAAAAGGAAGAGGAAGCAACCCGGCAAGTTCTTTCTCAAAAAAAGTAGTGCCGGCCAAATTACCCAGGTGCCTCAACTTGAAGGAGGGAATTACCGCGGCAGATTCAATGTATTTTTCGCAGGACATGGATCTCCAGGTTCACTGAGACGTTAAGGTACGCTCCCCGATGAAACGATCTACTTTTGTTTGTTCTTGCTAAGTTGGACATATGTCCACCAAAGCCACCATAAAGCTCTGCATCGTGCCTAATAACTCGACGATTACTGGTCAAATACCTCTGACTTCAAATCAAAGACTCCGCGCCTGTAGATAAAGTCGTGAGCATTTTTCTGCATTTTTGTATACTGTTTGCAGCTGCAGTGGACGAAATGGCCCCGGCTAACGAAACACAGGATGAATAACTGTCAACAGGCTTCATGGAAGTATCTTCATACGATACCACACGGACGTTTATCGCAAGTTGCACGATTGTGGAAGAGTTGCTCGAAAACTGATGCGGTAATATTTAAGAATGGCGCCGATGAAATATTGTAATTCCGACCTAAATTCAGGTTTTCAAGGTTCTATTTATAATAAGAATACAGAAAGCAGAGCGGGTGACCAGGGTGCAAGGAAGTTAACCGTGCGTAAAATTTAAAATTGTCCACATGCTGTCATGCCTACAATTATATGTGTAGTCCTAGGTTTCATATAGATGTTCTAATCAAAAATGTGTCTTCCACTGCGCTTTGGTGGTGCCTTTTCTGAAGCTCCTTCGAGCAGCACCACCTCATAGAGGTTGGCTGGTCCCGAGGGGTGTCTTTTGTGAGCAGTATCAGTGCGCGCTATCCAATATCTTTTAGAAAGCCAGCGCAAACCAAATGACTTTTTTAAACCCCCTTGCTGGTCCCATGGTATGTTTCCAGGTCTTCGGTGGATTCCAGTACAGCAGATGTACCCACGCGCATGCTGTAGCTGTCACTGGTTAGATGGGTGGAATCGTGTCGAGTAAACTCGCAGGTATTGTTTGATTTTACCACGGACTGCGGTGTTCCGCAAGTGTCGTGCCGTCAGGTGGTTATTTCAGTCGGTTGTGAAGAGTGTGGAAAAGAAGAAAGGATGCCCGGTGAAACCAAGAAGAAGTGTGAAGAAACAAGATGAAGAGAAGTGGAACGGAAGGGAAGGCGAAACCTAGGTAGATCCAAAGGTATAAAACAGATATGGAGAACATTATTGAATAGGTTCAAAAGACAGAGTCAAAGGGGAGGGAGGGGAGAGTGAGATTATACTACGGAGTATGAAGATGGAGATAGTAATCTTATTGGTAGGGGCACAGTAACTGGAGGTGAGATGTCTAACAGGGGAGCCTGATCCTCAGTCACTTTCGCGTTGATAGCGGCGGCACAGAAGCTTCAGAATAGGTTTTACCCTGCTGATGTATGAGGAACAAGTTAGTTGAAGCAACCTAGTCCCTAGCCCGGCTGGTTGAGTGCACAAGGTGTATTATTGCATGGTTGTCTAACCTTTGCTTGAAACTGTCGACAGATGTAGCAGTGGCAATCCCGGTAGGCAATACGCTTTGCTAGCTGCAAACAGGCAGAGAAAAACGTGCGAAGGCGTATCGGCTTCCGTTGTTTATTGGGCGATCCTCCGTGGCTTACCAAAACGACTGCCATTCGATGGGATTCCACAGTTCGGGTGGCTTGAACTACTTCGAATTTTGCGAGACGTTATCTACCTTCCACTTAGCTCAAGGTACCAAAAAGATTGAAGTCCAAAATCTTCCAGTCTGTCCTCTTGTAGCTTTCACCGCATTTCTACGATATCCTTTGTTACTCGCCTCTGAACTTTCTCCAGAAGGTTCATATTTCTTCACGGGTCTTGTGGTACAACGACTTTGCGGGCCCTCCCTATGAGATCATATACAGGTCTTGGACAGCCTCAGGAAATGTTCCGGAACGATGGCACCCAGTTTTTTGACCAAGAAATGCAACACCTGGTTGGCTATAGGTGCATCTCCTTGACGATTAGGGCGGGTGTCTAGCTTTTCAGTCGGTAATGGTCCCGGGTCTTCCTACCTGCTGGCAGGAGAAAGTTACGTACCACAGACAGAGTAGGTCGCCTTTTGCGAGTCGGTGCTTGTCCGTTATTTTTCACCCTCTCTCCGAGCAGCCTGAGGTCACTTCGTAGTGCACCTGATTCTGCTCGTGATGTCACAGCCCTTCATAAAATAAGATTTGACAGCCTAAACCCAATGAGAGGTCATTCGCGAAAAGAAGGAACGCAGAAGACAAACAACCGCTCTTTGTGATACAC